CGTGAACTTTTAACATAATTATAATATGTACCCAGATTATTTGTACATCCTCCAATATTATACGTATTTTTATAAAACTAAAACTTTAAAATTCCATTCAAACATATCTTAATATATGTAGCAATATTATTAATGTTTAAAAATCCCTTTAGTTGTATGATAGTTTCCCCTTTAGAACACAATGTGATAATTTTTACCACAAATATGTCCAAAATTTTAATTAGAATATACACGACACGATTTAGTACAGTATTAAAACAAAAAAAATGTATTCGTACGTTAGTTCATAATTTTTGTTAAGACAGAATAGACTTTTATAAACAAATTTATATAAATGAAACTCATAACGCAATAAAATTTACAAGTGCGAACAAATGCACTTCGTATAATGGTGTTCATTTTTGTTAGAAAAAAAGATGCCTAATGTTGTGCTCATTATACAAGGCTTTGTTTTTAAACAACTGAACTAAAACAAAGGAATAAAAATATAAACATCGAGATCATCATTGTTGTTGTAAACAAACGAAGGGAAAAAATTAAACATCGAAGTAATTCCCCCCTTGGTTCAGTTATTTTTTGACAATTCCTTGGATAAATCGTTTTTATTTTATTTTTTATTAAAACAAAATGAATGACTTTATGTATTCTATTGTGTAATCCACAGTCGTTGTTTTAAAATACATATTAAAAGAATCAGTACGTGATAGAAGTAAGTATTAAATGAAATTAATTATATTTTTGCTAAGCTTAGGCGGAAATGTGTATGTTGTATCAGATTATCCACTGCATTTAATGTGAACCAATTGAAAAGGCGCTAATAAATAAAATACATATAATAAGTAAGTGTTTGTTGCTTTTACCCTCTCGAATATTTGAAACAACTGTTAGGTTTTCTCATTTGTTTTTATTAAAAATATCGTATAAAAACATTAATATTTGTACTTTTTTATTTTGGTTAAATGAATATATCTAAAATCTAATTGTCTATAGTATAAATTTCACAAACTGTTTATTAAAAAATACGTAGAATGGATACTTACAACAAAAAGAAAGACGACCATGTGAGTATTATAAAAATAAAATTAAAAAACTACATGAATGAATTCGAAATTGATTTTCTTCACTGACGAAATACGAAATTACAAACAAAAGAAAAAGCTAGGAGTAAAAACAGCAAAGTTTGGCTAAGTTTAAAAGTTGTTGCGGGATTGCAACCATCCCCAGTGCAGGTATACACGCATGTTCGGTAAGTTAATGTGTCACCTGGTTGTTTAACGTAATTACAGTAATTTCCTAAATCGAGGGATGAACAAAATCGTTTGGTCCCTACTCCTCCTAAAAATACATATAAAATTTATTACTTTTAAACGCTAATATTTACAGTTTTAGTACACAAAACAATTCACACACCAGGAAAGCGAGTTAGAAGTAATAAGTTAGGGGGGGTGAAACGGTATAAAATCCCATGCCATTTTCTACACTCCCAACTATATAATAAAGGAGGCAAATATTGTTATCATATTATTCAATTATTTATTAATCTAAAATCGATTTTAATACGACAATAAATTAATAAGGAAAAAACCTGAACCCAAAAAAAAAACAAAAGAATAAAGCGTGCGAGATTGCGGTAAATGTTTTTTTTTGTTAGTGTTGGTGTTCAAAATCTTTTACTACAGTTCGTGCACACTCAAAATTATCAGTTACCCTCCAAAGTTATCGCTTTAACGCAATATTCAGCTCCATAGACGTTAGTGCAATTGTTTGTCTGGATTCCCCCCGAATTAATTAGCAAATCTGTACAATCCAATGTGTTAGTAGACGAGCACTGATAGCAGTCAATACATTTCGCTGGTAAAAAAATATTTACAATTATTATTATTATTGCATTAATTAATATCCTCGTTGTTGTTTTGTTTTGTTAATAAATACGACGGTTAGTATATATTAGTAGATTAGTATTTTTTTTGTTGACACCACCCCCTCAATATGTTTCTTTTTGTACCTTCGAATCTCCCTACGTGTTTGATACAGTATTTCGCGTCGTACACGTCGTCGCAAGGGGTTGAAACAAGAGCAGTATCACTGTCCAAAAACTCGTTACATTCAAACGGTGTCTTATTATCAGTGCCAGAACATTGATAACAACTAATACAATGCGCTATTAAACAAAAAAAAAAAGAAACATTAATTAGCGTTACCGTTATTAGGTATATGTATTAACTCCCAGTTTCCCCGCCGCTGTCTAATAAATTTATTGTTCGTTTGTAATACTTTTAATCGTTTGGTTCGAGCGCTTGACCTTAAGGTCATTAATACTGATGGACAAATATTAACGCAATGATATTTAATATATAACTAATATATACAAATTTAATTTTCCTATTTTTATATATATATATAAAAAAACGAGAGTTAAATAAAAATGTTACACCTATACATACTTAAGTATTAAGGTACTTAAACATCGCGTTTTAAGTCTACTTAACTGGTACTTACATTTTTGAATGAACTGAAGCAGAATTACAAAACACAATACGAATAACTTCATTTTGGCTGCAAATTGTTTCATCAGTGGTTGGAAAAACAGCTCATAGTTATCCGTAAGCTTAAAAACCACACCTTTGCTTTATTATTAATGATGAAAACAAACGTTTAATGGACAGGTGAGCGAGCGAGCGAACCGGACCGAGGTAAATTCAACCCGACTAATAATCGCGTGTGTACAAATGCGGAAATCGCACGATATCTTACCAGAGGTCAACAGGACACAAACAACTAATCGTTCTTTGTATACACTAAACGATAAAATAATAAGAAAGATACAATAAGAAGATGTTAACTTTTTCCGAGTTTTTAATGTTGCACTTACCCTTAAGGTAAAAAATTTGGACACCACTTTTCCGGAACATAAAGGCATTAGGGCTCATTTTAACCTTTGAAGCCTTTAAAACGCTAATCGAATAAATTTATAAACAACAACAAACACAATACTTAATTTTTATCATTAAAAATTAAAATAAAAAAAAAAACGAACTGCAACGAATATTTAGTATATTTGCACAAATATTACACTTTCTACATTTCAAATGTTACATTGCATTCTGTTGCAACACCCATCATTTTATTATAAATAACATTACAAATCGCAATAAAACAAAAAAAAAAGTTCTTTTGTTACCATTTTATTTTCGAATACAATTTATAAAAAGCGAAATTAAAAGATCATGGCTGCTCTAACTAATACATACATGTGTGTAGGTACTGTCTACTGTCTTCTTATTGAAACAAAAACATATTCATTTGTTACAAAACATTTAACGATCTAAATCAACTTTCTTTTGTCTTTTGTTAAAACAGAAGCGACAAGTGCGCAATAAACAAACAAAAACAAAACCTTTCTTTCTTCTGTTATCGTTGGTCGTTCCTTTTTGGAACTTAAAAAAATATACTTTTTAGAAAACGTTATGAAATAGATAGTATCGATAGTAACTACGTGTATTACGTGTAATAGTGAGTCTTTTTTCGAAATTCCAACATGCGTATAGATATTTATTCATTTATTTGTAAATAGAATTTTAATAGGCTCGAACATAATAGTATAATAATAATAATGATAATAATAATAATAATATAATACAAAGGCGACCGAT